CCACGAAAGCGACACTGCCAGTGGGAGCATAAATTCGGAAATTGGATAATATCCTCACGAAAGGGGGAAGGGAAAGAGTTGGTTGATGAAGCCATAAAGTACCAACTCGACATTGTTGAACTCTCATCAACGAAACACCCAGGCTCTGGAATCATGAACCTCTGCGAGTGGAACCTGTTCTACTCAGGTGTCAATATTACGACGTGCGCTGAGGCCGGTTTCGATGTTCTGGTAGAACCCAACTTCGCGGATAGAATCATTGAATGGAAGCCTGTCAGCGGAAGATTGGCAAGTTTTTGACTGAAGCTACAACAGGCTAAGGTCTTGAATTTACTTCTGATCTATGCACCCAGTTTAGACGCAGAATATGACTCCGTCTTTGACGAATTGGAATGTGCTCTGTACGCATGCCGACTACGGAGACCCACAATTAATTTCCCACATTTTTACTTAAAGGAAAAAGACAGCAACTATTTGATGAGACCTCGACTTAACAACTCGACATTGTTGGACTCTTGTCAAGGAAACGCCAAGGCTCTGGAATTCTGAACCTGTGCTGATGGAACCTATTCTACTTAGCTATTCTAGGTCGATGCCACGGCTCGCGCTCCGGCCGATGTTGGTATTCTGGTAGAATCCAAAGGTTGATAATATCATTGAATGGAAGCCTATCAGCGGAAGAGTTGCAATCCTCCGACTGAAGCTACAGCAGGCTGTGTTGTTGGTTTTGTTGTCTATGAGTCAAATCTTGAGGGAGAATATGAATCCTTCCTTGAGGAAATGGAGTGTGCTGTGTAGGAAGTGCCGAATACCGAGTCCTTTATTCTCATTAGCGATTTTAGCATATGTCGGAAGAGGGTCAATGCTCTGACTGAAGATACAGCAAGTTAAAGCTTTGACATTGTTACAGGTCTATCCACATAATTTGGAGGGAGAATTTGCGTTCTTCCTTCAGTCAGTTCAGTATGTCTTTTTGAATTGCTGATATCTCAACTTTGAAGAATAGT